CCCCACAGCGACCCCAGCCGCCACCCGAGCCACCAGATGCCCGGAGAGACACCGGAGGCCGCGGGGGGGCGAGGACCAGGGTAACCACCCCTTCCACCTTAAGCCGGACCGCAGGCCCTCGAGAGCCCGCGCCCCACCGAGGATGCCCGTGCCCGTCTGGGCCAGGATTCCGTCTTCACTGGAATAGGAGTGTTTCTGGAGCTGTCATCCTGAAGAATGGGGGTGCGGGGGAGCTGGCTCGGGGCGGCCACCACCTGGCAGACCACCTCCTGACCCTCCTCCATAGGATCTGAGCACAGCGCCCACCCCCCTCCTCTCCGACCTCGGTGTCTTTCCGTCCACCTGCAATAAACTCCGGGCCCGCTGTCTGGTGCTGTCTGTCTTGTCTGCTCAAGTTTGTGCGGGAAGCCTTTCCTGGCGTCTGGTCTTCGTCCTTCTTGCTCGGAGGGGCCGGGTGTGTGCTTCCCTTCCTTCGGGGGCCCCTTTTCTCGCACCCCCATCATGCAGTTCTCGGGGTGGGATGGGGGTGGGAAACAGGCTTATCCGCAGCAGGGCAGTTGAAGGTCAGACAGCGGGCAGAACTCCACAGGCTTTTGCATGCCTGGGCGCCCAGCCGAGGGCCCGCCCTCCTGTCACAGCACAGGGGACGGGCGGAGGGGTGGGATGGTTTCAAGCAAGAACCGGGGTTCGGGGGCTTGTGCTCAGTGTAATGACAAGGTCGGGGCCAGAGGCTACGCCGCTCTGAGGTGCCAGGATGCTGCTGGGAGGGGATGCCGCCTTCCTGGGGCCTGAGCCTGAGCGCGGGCAGCGAGGGTGGTGGGCGGCTCTGCCTCCCTGGGAACCACGGAGGAAGTTCTCAAAGCACCCGGCGGCCTTTGAAGACTATACCACCTCCCGGGGCCGGGCGGCTGGCAAACCCAGGCAGAGACACTGGTCCCGCTGAGGGAGGTAGTTGAGTACATTGTCCTCCCTAGAAGCCCGAGGCCTGGCTCTGGGCAGGGCACTGGGCCCCGAAGGCAGGAACAGTTTTCCCGTCCAGCCTCCTCCTTTGAACTGGAGCAGTGGTTCTCAACCTCGGCTGCCCTTTAGAATCACCTGGGAATCTTCTTAAAATCCTGATTTCTGGCCGAAACCGGTTTGGCTCAGTGGACAGAGCGTCAGCTTGCGGACTGGGGGGTCCCGGGTTCGATTCCGGTCAAGGGCATGTGCCTGGGTTGCGGGCACGTCCCCGGTGGGGGATGTGCAGGAGGCAGCTGATCGATGTTTCTCTCTCATCGATGTTTCTGACTCTCTATCTCCCATTTCCCCGAGCGCGCCTCCGGAAGGAAGGGGGACTCAGGAAGCCAGCAGCCATGTCCCGTTAGCGTAGGTGGTTAGGGGCGTTGATGTCCAGATTGAAATCCCAGCTCTTCCTCTCACGAGCTGCGTGACTTCGGGCAGGTCTCTCAGCCTCTGGCCTTGTAAAGTGAAGATGATGCTAATATTTATCATCATTTCTCTGAGGATTAAAGAAGCTAGTGAGCTTAGAACGGCATCATAATCTTTCTCTGTGTTCACCTCTGTCCCCGGGGCTTTAAAAACCAAAGGTTGGCCGTCGCCAGTTTGGCTTAGTGAATAGAGCATCGGTCTGTGGACTGAAGGGTCCTGGGTTCTATTCAGGTCAAGGGCACATTCCCAGGTTGCGGGCTGGATCCCCAGTTGAGGGAGTGCAGGAGGCAGCTGTTCAATAATTCCCTATCATCATTGATATTTCTATCTCCCTCTCCCTTCCTCTCTGAAATCAATAAAAAATATATTTTTAAAAAGATATTCATCATATTTCTCGTCCATGTCCCCCACTCATCTGTCAGCTCCACTGAGAGCAGGAAGTTTTTCCTGTTTTGTTCACTGCTGTGTCCCCGGTGCTTAAAATAAGGCCTGGCACATAGTAAACACTCCATAAATATCTATAATCATAAAAGTGTAATATGCTAATTAGACCAGACGTCCTTCTGGATGACCTTCCAGATGAAGCTGGGGCTGCAAGGGAAGCCCAGGTCCTGGGTGCCAGGGGGAAGCCAGTGCCAGCACCGGGGAAAGGAAGGCCTACTTTTGCATGAATTTCGTGCCTTGGGCCTCCAGTTGGTTAAATAAAATATTAAAACACAGTAACCTACCTGCCCAGCCAGTGTGGCTCAGTGATTGAATGTTGACCTATGAACCAGGAGGTCATGGTTTGATTCCCGGTCAGGGCACATGCCCTGGTTGCAGGCTCGATCCCCAGTGTGGGGCGTGCAGCAGGCAGTTGATCAATGATTCTCTCTCATCATTGATGTTTCTCTCTCTCTCCCCCTCCCTTCCTCTCTGAAATCAATCAAAATATAATTTAAAAGACATAGTGACCAAAAGAGAAGCTGAGGCACCTGTGAACCCCTCATTCCCATCCAGCAAATATATATAGGCAACTTTGCCCCGACTGATGAGCCCGGGGGCTTTCCTTCACTCTGGTTGGCTCAACCTGGGTCACAGAACAACCCAGAACCAACGCCTGTGCCAGCTGGTTGGCTAAGACTTGGGAAGGCGGGATTACTCTGAAGGTTTAGACCAATCAGGACCCGTCGCTGGATCTGACCAAAGCTAGGAGGCATCCTAACCCTGCAGCCCAACCGCGGGGCTGGGACTGCCAGGAGGGGGCGATGCTGAGCCGCCGTGCTCCTGGACCCTGCGGGCTCTCCCGGGCCCACCCCTGGATCAAAGATTTACGATTACAGCAGAAATAGACGTGGTTGCACCTGTGAGGAGCCTGCTACCAGAATCCCGCATCCTTTGTCTGCAATTCCAACTTCCCAAAAGCTCTGACAACCAAAAGATATTTTTTTTGGGGGGAGGGTAATTTTGGCCCCGTTTCATATGGTGGCAAATCTACTAATATGAATTATTTACACTCTTTATTTATCTTCGCTGGTGTGAGTTTTCACACATTTTGCTGCAAATATATCAACATATCTGATGGGAAGGAGGCTACGTTAGCCCTTGGGGGCGTTACATAATATACGCGTTGGCGCAGAATTATGTACGACTAAAATTGGAACGACTCTGAGTTCTCAGAGGCATCTGTCTCCAAGGACTTCAGCTAAGAGATTACGGACCTCCACTTGGGCATGCTGCCAAACCTAGATTCATCTTAATTATTCGCTCCGCATTTATTTAATGGCTTTGGGCCGAAACTCATTTTTCATTACAATATTTTAAAAATAAGACATGAAGCTCTTTTACTCAGTCCCCTTTGTTAATGCTGTTTCGATTTTTACCGTTGTGTGTCTGTGTATTTGAAAGTGTGTCTACATGCGACTGTATGAGTGTGTCCATGTGTGAGGCTGTGTGTCTTTGTGGGTGTGCAATATTTCTGTGTGTGTATCTGAGGGTCTGTGTGAGAGACTGGGTGTGTGTTTGATCATGTCTATGTGTCTGTGTGTAATTGTGTGCGTGTGAGGGTGGGTCTCTGTGTGTGAGAGGCGGCATGGCTCAGGGTTAAGTTTAATATGCTGAGCCCTAGCCAGTGGAGGGAGCGTCAGCCCATGGAATGAGGGGTCCCGGGTTCGAATCCAGTCAAGGGCACGTACCTGGGTTGCAAGCTTGATCCCCGGCCCTGGGCCATGTAAGGGAGGCAACCAATTGATGTGGCCTTTCTCAAACTTGGATGTTTCTCTCTCTCTGTCTCTCCCCCTCCCTTCCACTCTGTCTAAAAGTATCCTTGGGTGAGGATTAACAAAAAAAAAACCATCCTGAAATAAAGAGCTCATTTTAGGCGACTATCTCTGCCTCCGTTTTAGAATCTTAGTGGACTGTACAGTGTAAATTACTCAGTCTAGAAAATTTTCACTGTCCAGCAATACCTTATGTTTCCACTAGAGGTCGCCTGTCTACTTTGGCCAGAAAAAATTTTAAACTACATTTTTTTTTTTTTTTTTTTGCCATTTAATTCCTGGGAGTTCGCAGAACCTTGCAGACAAATACCAGTGGCAGCTAGCTTAGGCTCACCTCACCTTTACACAGAGCAGTGGTTGTCAAACTTGTTGGTCTCAGGATTCTTTTACACTCTTTTTAAAAAATATATATTTTATTGATTTTTTACAGAGAGGAAGGGAGAGAGATAGAGAGTTAGAAACATCCAAGAGAGAGAAACATCGATCAGCTGCCTCCTGCACACCTCCCACTGGCGATGTGCCCGCAACCCAGGTACATGCCCTTGACCGGAATCGAACCTGGGACCCCTCAGTCTGCAGGCCGACGCTCTATCCACCGAGCCAAACCGGTTTCCGCTACATTCTTAAAAAATT